ATATACCAGTATAGGGGTTGTGGAGATTGTTAAGTTTTGATCGAGATCATGAACTGATTAATATTAGACCACCATTAAAAACCTGGATGCACTGGACGGTCGTTTCGTCCTATTGTGGGACTCCTCAGCAGTGCGCATCCACGATCACGCTCGCGGATTTGAACCCAGGGCCTTCAGTTTTGCACGCAAACGCTTAACCTGTATAACATCGTACATTTGATTTTGTTCGGAATGTTCTATCATCTCGCTTTCTTTACTTTCTGTTCAATAAAAATTTGTTTCAACGCATAAATAAAATGTATAAAAATTGATAGTTCTGGTAAGTATACCTTTATTTCTTACTCAATTCAATCCATAAGTCACAGGACTCTTCACACAAATAAATGATTTTTGTAGTAAAGCGAACTATTAATTGGGATGGAATAATCATTAATTAAACTAGGTTGTGAAGACTTAAGATATTTACCATGCACTATACTCACCATATGATCTGATGAACACTAGTTTGTCAAATTATCTGGTAGTAATTTTTTCCACAGAAAACTTTCAACAGGTCTGTGGATTATGTCAACATTTTAATAAAGATAAATATATGTATTCCTGGTAGATAAAAATAAGAGCAAGATTTACTGAGAATTGCTTTTGTTAAAAGTAGCTAATCTGTGAGTTAAACATACAAAAAATATATAATACAGGCCCAATGTTCCTTCTCGTAGTCATGTCACCTTTTTAAACTTTTACCTAAAATCTGGCATGGATCTCATCTTCTGTGTTAATTAAACATACATATATATAACCAAGATTTGTCTGGATAAACAAGAAATATTTTAGTTATGTATGTAATTATAAAAAGTAAAGTGAGTAAGTGTAAATGGAAATCATACAGAAACATAATAATAAGAAATTACTGTTTAGGTTCATCAATAGTTAAGACAACCATAATAATTTGTGTATTGCTTCTTCTTTTTTTATTCAACTGAAATTATTAAAGGAAAGCTCAATACATTTGTATGTTGTTTTTTTTTCTTCATTTTTCATAATGAAGGTTAACTTGTGTATGGTGAAAATCTCTATAATTAAAATATTCGATTGAAATTTCACTGAATAACCTTGTTGTTAGTATAACATTTTTGTGTATATGTAAAGAAAGAACATTACGTCGTTATTTCTTTGTTACATTTACTACTACTAATAATAATATGAAGTAAAACTAAACCACAATATTACCACTTTCATTTATATCTAAATAGAAAAGCTTACTTCATAATACACTTAAATAAGTTACTCATTTAAATCCCATGATATTTCATCGATAAGGAATCGTTATAAATTTTCTCAGGCATTTCAATGTATACTCTTTAAACTAAGCTTCCAGTTTTATATTTAAAAGCCAAGTTGTGAGTTATGAGCAGAAAAGTCATTTTAAACTCATTAATTTATTGTTTATTCAAATAAAGAATAACTTTCAGTACACGTGAACTAATAAAATAATTACTTTTTTATTGATTTAAATCTCACATCGCTTATGTAATTTGAAATAAGTAAAATACTGAGAGCTTGGATTAAACTCATAGTCTTGTTACTCCTTATATATTTAGGTTTAAACGAGTATCAATGTGAATTTAAATGAACATTGTTTCTCATAGCAAGAGTGTTACCAATTATGTTCTTTCTAAAATGTACTAAATATTTCTCTTCATAGAATGTTTGCAGAATTATCTTCATTTCATAAGATTGAGTTCTTAGAGAAGTTTTGATTTATAACTGACTACTCGGATTTCATAATATTCCTTAATAAAATATTGAGTAATTGCTTGATTGATAAATTCTGTTTGCGTACTTATATGTACTTGAGAGAGTCAGTTCAACACCATTACATATTTTGTGTGCATATATTAATTATTTTGTTCCTTCATACGTACAGTACAAATATCAGATAACATGATCAAGTGATATTTAATGAACTATTTTCTTGTCTAAAAAATATGTAGAGACGTATGGAGTCATAGATTTATTTTTTACCTATCCTGCAATAGTATTTGTTTTGGTTCAAAAGTGTGCTTTCAATTACGTTGTTGATTCATACCTTCAACATTGTAGCAAAATTATTTATAGAATGGTACAAATATGTGATCATTATTCTGGAAGATAATATTAATACATTTTACAGTACACAATGCAGATATTGGTTGATTCATAAAAAATGTAATGTTCTGATTTTACATAATTGCATGGTTACAATTCGAAATTCGCTAATCATTGAATTGCTTTGATGTATCTTCAATTAATGAGATTGCAATAAAAGTGTTTATATCAAATACAAGTAGTTAGCTACTGTCTTTGATAATTGTTCAATCGTATTGGGATATAGTCGTTTTTGTTCAGTTGATTATACTGCCTTATCTTCCATTGAAATTAGAAATTTCGTCTGTCTGACTGACTGATTGTTTAGTTAAACTAGTTTACATTAAACATTGTTCCCAAGTATTTATAAAACCTGAAGTTTTATTTTACGAATATAGTCCCTGTACTAGTCAGATGTAATTCTTGATCTGAGTTTTGAACCTAAAACAGTAAGTTATATCAAGGTCTGTTATCTCCAGCAGCTGAAATCCAGGGTTACAATCCATCAGTCGCAATTCCAACTTCAGAAGATGTATGCAGGTACATCAATATGATATATTCCACATAAGATAAAATGTAAGATGCGGATTCCACTTAAACCTACAAATCATATTCATTATATTAGTAACGTTAAGTGAATCGGCATAATATTCGTTATTGATCATACATAGTCTGCACCAATAGCAAAAGCATTAAAATAATCAACTATAACTGTTATATCATTGAAAACATGACGGATTTATAAAGCAAGATAAATTAGAAAAAGAGAAGACTACGTATTTTTCCAAGACTTTTGACCAGTCATATTATGAGAAATTATAACGAAGAAACATTTGGAGATCGTTTCGCCAAAACTATTTATAGTATTAGAGATCATTTTAGAACAACTCAGATAAATCTGTTGGTCGATAATAAATTAGTACGCTTGTAACGTTTAAGAATAGCATAAAAGTGTGAGCCATATGTATTAGGGTTAAGAAAGATTGAAAATTAATTTGTATGTTTTAATTTTCGGACTTAAAGTAAGAAACCTGCCATAATTTTGATCTATGAACATTGTTTTCTTAATATTTCAGCTATATTAAAAGTAATTTTTTTACTTAAATGAAACGAACTAGTGCACTATTTATCAAGATAATGAAGGTCATCTTATCTACTCATAAGTGTAACAAATCTGTGACAAAAATTCAAGTAAAATTTTTGATGCATGAAATAATCAAAGTATTTTAAACAAGGTTTATTCAGATATAAAAAAAAACTTGAAAAGGTTAGCGTAATTTGATATTCCAATTGAATAATGATAAACTCAAAAAATAATAGTAAACTAAGAACAATATACAGAGAATATAGTACAACAAAGGTTTTATATTTTTTACTGAATACCTAACACCATTTTAGTAGCATACTTAAACGAGGATAATTATGTTCATATATATTTTCTTATTTACTTCAGTATTCCGTTTGAATAGATCAGTTGAATCTTCTTGCTATTTATCCAACAAATAATCTAAATCCTTTTGTATAACTGTTAAACAGTGAATAACTGGATACGTTTGATTTATCTCACGTTTATATTTGTTTAAAATACTTCGCATTCACACAAATCCTAATTGAAACATTGGTAAACTTTAGTTTTATAGAGTTGATAGAAGGTAACAAAATTAATTTGACGTTTTTTATTACGATTACTGTTTATCTCACTTCGGGTTCTATCATATTTATACTGCCGAAATACAAATTTTCCAAAATTTATATTAGTGTCTTCAAGTTATCTCTGTTTATACAATTCACCACTTAACGAAGAAACAACAAACTGCATTTCGTTTTGGTGTTATTAGATATTACATAATGTTTTCAGGTTCCTTATCAATTCTCTATACTATATTGTTTATCAAAGGACAGAATTATGGATCTTATATTTTATCATCTATATAACGACTTAATGAGTATTTATGTCTTTGCATATAAAAACCTTATGTCGGATAAATGTCAAACGTCATATCAAATTTAACTGGCTGTGAAACAGTTAACGTAACCAAAATAATTTATTCCCAAACATCACTAATGTCATATAATGATATTTTGGAAATGGATATAAATTCAGATGTCAATATTGTTATGAATATATTAACTTGATTTAAAAGTTTATTAATTCGTTTATTTGGATACAAAACTCCTACGATTCACGATACTTCGTTAATTAAGATTTAGCATAAGTTATGAGAAGACATTGAGTTTAGCATAATTTGTATTGATCAAAAACTGTTTTAAACTATGAACAAAATAGCACTTCAAGTGAATTAGTTTGGTTAAATAAATTTGTTAACAGTTCTCTTCTTTTTTAAAAAAAAGAAAAAGGAATTTCATTAGTTTGATGAGATAAAAGAGGAAAATATGATCATCATTATTGTTTGATTTTTATAGCAGTATTTGTGCTTATTGATTATATGTGCCTTCAGTAATATATTTTTTGATACTATTCGTTGTAAACGTTTGTAAAAATATTCCTATTTTTGAATAAAAAAAATAAGGATTTAAAAAAGTAGAGAAGAAAATGCCTGATTATGCATCTCAAAACCTGATTGAACATTAGTTTGTTTAAATAAAAATTAGTATCGATTTCAAACAAAACTGTGTATCATGATAGTTTCCATCAAATTACATAGAAAACATTTTCTGCATAAAATTAAACCGAAGGAAAATAACAAATATGGATTGTGATATAAATTTTTTCCACATATTAAAGGATATAAACAGAACAGACCAAAAAACCATAAGGGGAATAATAATTAAATTGTAAAACAAACTATCACAAATGTGGTGAGTAATATTTTTAGTAAGATTTGTAACTAACTATCATATATATAAAAGTTTAATCATGCATTATTCTCCTGATTTTCACTATTTTTGCGAACTCTCAAACTTGGACACGTTTTTACACAAGGTATACAGTCAACTTTCGGGATGATCTTCTTGTCTTCAATCCAAATCGCAAACAGAAATGCTGTAAAATGAATATTTAGAAAACAGATCATTAGAATTTCATTGAAGATAGAATCTCCATCCATTTAGCTTAAAGACTTGAAAGCTGCAGATAAGAAAAGTGTTTGCATTTCATTATTTATCTCTAGATCCTTTTAAGGGAAAAACATGATGAATTTAAAAATTGTTTAGTGTTTTACAAGTAAGTATGGCCCAAAAAATGTTAATCTGAAATACTAAAGGCTTTACTAGCCTCATTAATAATGATTTCAACATACTTCACAACTTTCTTTCTTCAAATTTGTCAGAGTTAAGTAAGTGATTCATCGACAAGTATCCACATGCCGAAGAGTTTACCAGGGAACTTTTTGAATTGATCAATCAATACTATCTCATGTATAGAATGACATAGTAAGATTCATCTTTGTGAGTTAATTAGAGAGTTCTGTGTACTACTGGAAATTAATTTATAAATAGAGAACATGGGAATGTTTTCCCGAGCATATGTTGATCTCAACTTGCACGTCATGCATTAAACTCTAAAGAACAAAGATGAAGTGACAATACATATTAATTTTAGTTACGTCCTAAGCACTTTAAAAATAGGGAGGTATGTATTTTAGAATTAAAATTATGTGACAGTCTCCTTTTGGGGAGCTGATTTAGGTTGGTATGATAGGCACTTCTGACTAATACTTGTAAAGATGACATGTTGAACCTCCAGCAAAAAAGTGGTGTAATTATGCTTCCTAGTAAAGGTGAGGTCTTTTCATTGAACAGTACACATGAAAAAATTTATATACCAGGTTTGTACTAGCATTACAGAAGACATTTATCTCGAGTCACCAAGTGGTAATCGAGTTTATATCTTTGAGTAAAAATCTTAGTAACCGATATTCATTTAACAACGAGGAATCATTCATTAATATTGTCCTAATACGAACACAATGTATATATTTACAGACCCCCTTTTAGTTATTGCGCTGACGCAAATATTAGTATACGTAAAAATGTACTGTAAGTGATCTGGTCTTGTTTAAGAATATTTTGCTTTTGAAAACATGCTTTATCAATAAGAAATAAGTTATACAAGGAACCATACTGAGAAACTGACAATTAGAACTACAAAATAAATGGTATTATCTCATATCAATAAGGTTTATTAAATTCATTATAATGTAAAGGTTAAGAACATACCGAGTAAGCAAACACCTCCGCAGCCACTGAACTGTACTAGGTAAGGATTAGATGCATGTATAAACATTGAGATAACAGAACATAGTATACTTCCGACAGTCTTAAAGGAAAGAAAAAACATTAAATAACTTAATATCGATATAATATTTTAGATTGAAAGGGTTACTCAGAGACGTCTGGTAGCAAATAACATCAGGTTTCCAGCCCATATGACATCCTAAGCAAAGTTCGATGGTGGCTAGCAGTTAAATTCAGAACGCACATTTCGTTTTACTTGGGACTCGCCATTTGGAGGCATCTTTATCCCAGAGTTAATGTTTATTCGTCCTAGATTCCACTGTGAACCTCCATCCAACTTTGCCTATGATGCTTTTTGATCAATTTCAACATCCATCCAATCCCCACAGGATGCGCATACATCAAAAGAGCAATCTATTGTAGTTCTAAACATCAGTGGGAAGATTCGAATAGCCAATACTAATTAATTATATGACATTCTTTTATAATGATTATCATTTTGACCCAGAAACCTTTTTCATTAACAAAAATTATTTACATTAAGAGAATTCTAAATAATTGTCTAACATGAAATTTTCATAAGTTTTGAGTGGTTAAATATTTATGTAAATAAACACACTTCATTCTACGTTTTTCGTTAACATGACTTTCGTATCGCATTCAGTATGTTTATTTTAACATTATTTCATGCTAAAAGTACAGTATGTGGTCAAAAATACTAATAAAAGTATTCACACTAAAGGAATCAAGTAACGTAATCCATTGATTACTGATTGAAACTATTCATACATGCGTTATACATAAGTGGCACTACTAAACATATAAACCTTAATAATGAACATTTTTTGTACATCATTAAAAATTTATTATTTAACATCTAGCTTACAAATCCAGTAAACACAATGCCGTAGTTTATGGCAAAGTAAGTAGGACCAAATATATTTCCTGTACCACCTGGCATAATAACAAACACTCCACTCAGTACCAAAAATAGTGCCCACACCCAAATTGCGTATGCAGCTTTAAGACCCGGCATTGGGATTCCTCCAATATGTGGAAATGTGAAAAGTATTATAGCCCATAGTATTAACACAATGCACAATGGTAACTGAAAATTGGTATAAAAAAGCGTATTAATGAGTTGTATAAATCACTGAATAAGAGTTGATAGAACAGTTTCGCAGTTCAATGCTTGTAATAATTTATGTTTATGTCCCTAGTTCAGCATAAATATTGATCGTACAGATAATATACTTCTGAACAATCTGTACCAGGAATTATCGCGTTATATAATTTAAATGTAATTGTTATAATGGAGTTGATATCGATGATCCAAGTAAAGTAAACAGCGAACTATTTAATAACTAATCCGTTCTTATAAGCAGTGGTTAGTGATAATTACTAGTTATTTTTCCGATCTGTAATCCAGTTCAAATAATCACAGTGACTTTCATTCAGTTTCTGGTTAACTATAAAATAGTACAAAATTTTATGATTATTTAGAAGTGAAATAACATATTATTTAGTAGTAGATAGAAACAATTAGCTAACCGAATGCGTAAAGAACAAAAAAATTACTAGGTAAGAGTTAATCTCGGCTAATATTCACCACTGCATAAAACATTTTATTCAACTCAAAACCAGGTTTCATTAAAAGATATTTTCACTTTCAATGTATTGGGTCGTTAACTTCTGACATACGTTTTCTTACAGTTGTTGGTAATAAACTATATAATCTGAATATATTTTCAAACACTCTTATTTGACTAAATATTTTTCAGCTCTTTAAAATAACCGACATTGTAGTTAGTTATTTTACTTGACAATAGCATATGTTTTGGTGTAAATATTGCACATGCTCATTTCAATCAGACATATGTAAAATCTAAGACGTTCTTTTGTTTTAAATGAATTTAACTTTTTGAACACAGGAGTAATGATCAGTTTGTCATGTTCATCTGCTGTTTCTTCAGATTGTATCGTGTAATAAATTTGAAGTATAAATTAAAGTGACTAGCTCATAAATAGAAATGAATACCACATTACAGCTGACAGAACGGGATTAGCCCTAAATAAAGACCTAGTTAAATTGGACAAAGATCTAATTTGTAAACTTTCCCAACAACATGATGAAAGGAAAACCAAGATAAAAATCTGAAAATTCAGAATTAAGGTGACATTACATTATAGAAACAAGTTAAATATTTACGTGCAAATTGTAAACCTAAATAGTTCGTTCAAAAGTATACACATTTCAAAGATTATTTTGCATGACAATTAATCTACATTCAACCTAATTAGTATTGACTTTTAAAGTTATATTCATTCAAGTCGTAAATTTATAGTCATTAAGAACATTTCTTTTTCTTTGTCTATACCTTTCACATCAAATCTTACCTGAATGCATACTACGTCGAACAGATTTTCGTTTGGTTGTAAAACTAGATTCTATGTTTTACTGATGGACTTGTGTGATGAATAGGCTAGAAATCAAGCCGTTGATTTCTTACTCTCCAGCAAGCATTTTCAAGAAGTACTTCACACATAGAATAATTATTCCCTCTGATAGGGATTTCAACTTTACAACACTATTGCACTCATGTACAAATGTATCCACCTCATGAGTTTCTAAATTAGTAAATAATGAAACTGCCGAATGACAACTATTAGCCATCACACATATATTTTGTCAACCTGTAATATAAAGTGGACGTGGTAATTTCTGGGAATGAATAATATATCGTATAGTCTATTAAATAGTTATTTTATGTGTGTATATACTTAAATGTGAATCTCAATTTGACAATACAAGAAGACAATGAACAACGACAATTAACTTGACCAAATAACGTCAATTAATGCATAGGTCTCGAAATATGTAAGTTATAAAAGATTGGTGGTAGTTCTTATGACAAAACAGTTAATATTTTCGTCAAACGTAGAACTGTCCTAATTATATATAATTGCATCAACTTGATAGTTTGACAGAAAACGTTAAATTAACATATAAGACATGTTGCCCAGAGCCAATTACAGACCGAATACAAATCAGTCATAGCACGAAAGAACACTTAGGCAGTCTGGATGAATTGTAAAGATAGTAATATCTGACCAAGTTAAATCATTACCTTGAACGAAATGCGATCTACTATAGCACCCCACATAATCCTACCACCAGCATTAAAAAGTGCTGTTATACTGGCAACAATGGACAGGTACTGATCATCACTGATAAACTCTTGTCCAAAAAGCTGAAATATATAAAAATAGTATTGTAAAATATGGATTTGTAATCGGAAATTCAGTTGTAATGTTTATCATTAGTAGATTTTTTTAAACAGTACTAAAACAGACACGTTTTCTAAGTATTATTTCTCCTATCACTTGCTTAACACTCTTAATATTTAAATATTGTTTTGACCATAAGTCGATATCAGTCGGAGGTTCATTGAGAATAAGCGAATACTGTGAAGATATTTTCCTAGTTTTGAAAATTATTCGTGTACTCGTCAAACAATTAATTCAAGGAATTCCTCCACTGTTTGCTACAAACATTTATGCACATCTGGAATTAATAGCCTGAACTGAACTATGAATTTCTTCCATCATTATATCAATAATGTTTTCTGACTTCATATTTGTGGAATAACTAAGGATTTGAATGACAATACTGAAATGCATATCAAAATATACAGATATACTCATTATATATGAGACAAAAAACATAAAGATCCAGATAGTAAACTTATGGAGTATTGTTAACTTTTAAACTACATTTTTTTAGAAGCAGTTAACTTTTTTCAGGGTAACTCCGAAGGGTGAAATGTTTATTGATTTATTTCATTATTTTACTCTCACAGTGTTCTACATTTGTAACCCACAAGCGACCTTGTTCAAATGAAATCAAATGTAACAAATAAGTACATTAAATATTTTAGAATTTTTATTAAGAGAGCAGAAAGTAATAAAAAGTCAAATGCTTGCCAATTTTCAAATAAATATACATACATTATGCTTCATAATCACTTACCTTGTACGCTGATGTGATAATTGTGATAGGGATAATAACTAAGAACATTATTATCCATAACAAGTAAAAGTCAATTTTACGGAATAACTGCTTAGGTGATAAGTTGATTTGGCTAAAATATAAATGATTACTTGTGATATATTCTAGTATTTGTAATAGTTTAAAATATGGAATATAACCCTAATACGAAAATTTAAACATTTATTTAAAATAACGGAATATGCAATATCCATCAGTGATATACAAAACGTCCATATATGAATTTCTAGTAAATCAACTCACATAATTAAACTTTGATGATATTTAGTCCAATGAAGCAGAACTAAATGTTGAAGAGTAAGTCAGCTTTGAAACTAGGTATTTTGAAAAAGCTGAATCAACTGCGCACTAACTGTTTTTGTGGAGTCCAACCTTGATCATTAACTGAACTGTCATAGGAAATTTACGCTGTTTACAATAACAGAGAGGAATTTTAAGAGTCAGGTTAACCACATTATTACCTCACTATTTTCAGTTTTAATAAGTGCATTACTAGCAAATAAAGATTTCAATGGAACCCAATAAATTATTCATTCGAAATATTTTTATCCGAATTTACGGCATTTTAATACTCAAAAGTAATAATAGTCTATCGAAATAACTCGAAACGATAACTTCATGATACTAATTGTATTTTAAAATATATTCCTTAAGTGATATATGAGTTAAAATTAGATGCATAAAATGACTTACTCAGTGTTTACTTTAGCAGAATCAGGTTTATCCTAAAAAGTAAAAATACGCTGCATTATGTAAAACGACGATAATTAATTCAGCTTTCTTTCTGTTGCATACATACTCACAAAGTGTTTTTGATTTAATCTTGGTCAAAAATCAAATTCACTAATTTTCTTGTTCACTGAACGTGAAATTGTTATGCAGACTTCTAGAAATGAATATTTTTATACAAATGAAAGTTCGCCTTTTCTAGATTCGATTGCCTAAGACTATTTACATTAAATACAAAACTTATTAAAGCTTTTGTACGAAACTGCTTTCAATTCAGTTTATATAATCATAAACAATGATACAAGGACTGTAATCAAATAATGTGTTTGGATAAACGTAATCACTCGCTTCAGTGTTGTATAACAGTGCGTTTTTTAGTGTGCATTTTAGAAGCGAAATTACTTTCATTTTTGTTCGGACTTAATTGTTATATTGGTTCATGAAATAAATTTGTGTTTTAGACGTTCATAAGACCAACCGATACCTTCGAAAGTACAAACATTAGTAAGTTTTTATACATGCTGGTTAGTAAACCAAAGTTTACTACCATAGATAATAAAGCAATGACTTGAACAATAAACGTTAAAATGTATAGGGTTACACAATAATGATGAAAGCATATAATCAATGGTATCAAAGAGATTTCAGTGATTTGATTGCGTAACTCATTCATAACTTATTTGAGAATAATTTCGTCGGTATTTCACTTATCTAGTGAGTTTAGATAATTATTAGATATTTACTTTTCCGTTTCAATAGATTTTTTCGTTTGAATTATTTTTTCTGGTTAGCGTTCTTTTAGCGAGTTAGTTTTCTACGAGATGGGGTCGCTAACCTCATGTCCAACTCTCCTTTTTTACCCGAGCTTGGGACCGGTAGTAACTCCGGAAGAGCTACAGACGTCGAAAAACAGAAGCAAGTATGAAAAAGATGAATAACAACTGGAAAGAACTAGAAAGAATTCCTCAGGACAGGGTAGGATGGAGAGTGCTGGTGCTCCTCCTCGAGGAGTAACAGGCGTAAGTAACTTGTAAGTAAGATCTTTTTGTTAGACTGGGACGTAATCAAGAGAATGAACTACCATATGCTAATCTTCCATACTTTCAATATAGAATAAAGGTGTTCATTGATGGTTGAGGCAAATAACAATGCTTCTAACCAGAATTCACATATCAAAAAGTTTATCTTTCATAATTTAGGCAGAGTTCATTAGCTATCAACGCACAAGGTGATATCGCGTACAGTAATTTCAAAAACTACGTTCTTCTTAAGTGCCAAATAGAAAAATCTTTATCCTACTGATAAATGTAGGTAGTAAAGACTTCATCTTTGATACCGAAGTCAGTCTAAATTCCGTGCTATCTTCTTGTATATTCAGCCTCCTCATCATTGTGTATACTGAAGTCGAGCTATCCATCTAAATACCAGAAATTTGTTCAGAATTTTCAACAAATGCAAACATTGCTGATGACATTTCAGCTACTACTTGACACCCACCATTGAACGCTTCATTAAAATATAAAATTTCATTTGACTTCTGAACAAGTATTTAAGCTCAAAACATAATTGGTAGAAACAGATCATATTATTTAAATGTTAAGACTAGAGTTCAAAACCAAATACATATTTGCCTGAGATATAAAATTCACATCATTTCAGAAAATGTAGATTAGTGGTCAGATCGAATGAAAACCTTTGAAACAACATTCGTGATGTACGAAATAGTCATAAAACGTGTTCAAAGAGCTCCACATATTGCGTGTATTCACGCCAAACAAATTGTTAGTCGATAAACCGCTGGTTAGTCGAGTTCTATTCATTCTTTCACAAGGTATCCCACCTTATGGTTGAAATCACAAACTGATTCTTACACCATATTGATGATTTTTATAGCTATGAGCTAAACGTGTCAAAAGAAGATTGAATTAATCTAAAATAAAGATAATACAAGATTTGAAACGACAAAAAAATCGACTGACTGTTTATTTACCTTTTGTTTTTTCTCGCTCATGAGGACAAAACCAACTATTTGTCCACTAATTAAAATTCCGCCTAAGATGAGAAATGCTCTTGGTATTCTATCTAATAGCTCAGGATCGTCAAATAGCCTTTATATATGATGTAAAAAATCAAAAAAACATTATTCCAAGTTTAAAGGCAACCAATTCAAGAAAAAGTGGTTAAATAGATCCACTAACATGCCTACTGAGGTTTTAGACGGTTTAACTATATTTTCAGATTTTGTTTACCTAATATCACTCATCAATTTCCACAGAATTTGAATTCACTTTGAAAATTTAATGCCACCAAAGCTATTAGTATGTTAAGCAAAGATAAACATAACTTACTAGATAGTAAATAAAATACTAGAGCTATATAATGATTATATTGAATAAAGCCATTAATAATAATATTTGTTATTTACTAAAATCAACTTCTGGAAGGAAGTCAGTAAAGTGTTATCTTTAAATAAAGATTCTCAGTATTATTTTATTTAGCAACCTACTTTCAAAATTTCATAAAGTCTATATTTACGAAATCATTGTATTTTCTGATAAGCCGATTCAAATGAATATTCATCCCTGATTACTATTCTAGTGCCACGTTTTTAAAGTATGGTATATACATAAGTTAGAAAGTTCCTTTCTACCGTTTTTACATAATTCTCAATTCTTTGGGTTGCAGATAACTATAAGTAAACAGTTATTCTGGACATTTTTGGCTCCTAGTAAGTATTTTACTGTGATTGTTATTTGTGACAATCAATCACTAGAACTAAAATTTTGAAACATTTGGTCAGGAATTTGTGAAGTTTATTTGCACCTGACTATATATCTTATGCATGTTATTAGGGCAAGAAAAGTAGATAATTCTGAAGAATGGAGATAAAGCTTGGTACTATAAAGGTTAGATCTAAAGCATAAGTATCTAACATGAGTTTTGTATATACAAGACTGTCTATTATTGCTACTGCTTTTGAATAAAAAAGCACAAACAGATGTAATTAACTATAAATAGTTGCACTTACAAATAAAGATTACAATATCTGATTTGCACATAAAAACCTCTAGAAATTAACAACTGATACTTTAAAATAGTCCAAGGGTTCAGTTAACTCCAAAATTATTTTGGATGGACATTTTACTCAGAAAGAAGCACTGTAGCCTCACGTAAGTTAATGTACGTTTTTACTTAATATAGATTTGGGTGAAATCAGGCGGTTAAAAATTGACAATCTGCATTATAAAACGTCCTTCACTAGGTCCAGTTTAGTTCTTCAGTTACTAAGAATTCCTGAAGCTGTAAATTAGTTGTTATTTAAGCACAGCTGTATTTTGTTTGAATATCATAGAAACGTTTATTGACAAATGGACGATTGATTGCAACCTTCATGATCATAAATGGTTAGCTAAATAGGTTTCAATTTGTAATAATTGTTCCAGAACTATTTAATGACCCACATAAATACTGTACCAAAATATGTTTTTAATTAAACTACTAATAACCAACTTGCCATATACTATTTTATCTTTAACAGCCCTGTCACTGTCACTGTTGAATCGTCATACTTGCTGTTGACCGTTTTTAGTGTGATAAAAACATGTAGAACATAAATCAAAGTGATTCTTTTAATTTCCTAGAAATGGTATGGGTGGATTTTTTATTTGAGGTTAACGATATTTAAAGTAATTTTGCATAACACTGCTCATACATATAGTCATTTTTATTTTCCATTTTCTCCAAAATTGTATGACTTTTTTAGATAATGCAACACTTGAGAGTTTATATTTGTATCCGTCTAGTAATTTTCAAGGAACAAACTATGTTCATGTACTTAATAATTAAACCGTCATTATGTTTCGGCAGTTTATTCTGCTTTTGTCTGGTGATTTACTTATTCGCATGATTTTGGTCAGATATTATACAAAAACACCATCTCACTTGGTCATTTTAAACAGAAAGTCAAAGAACACTTGGCATGTTTAGAGTGTATTGTAGTTTAGTCTAATGTTCTTCTAAGAAAATGTTTAAGAAGCACATGGTTTTGTGTTATGGGCAGACTAACATGTATCTACAGACTAAATTACGTAATAAAGTTTATGAACCACCAGTACACATTATCCTTTCACTCAAGTTCATAGAAACTCACTTTGTTTTAGGATTCACCGGTATGTTGTTCGGATTGATAAGTGCCGTCTGAATGGGCGTAAAAACAAGTGCTCCCAGTCCAAATCCACCGACAACTAAACCAACAATGAGGAATCGTCGTTTTGGAAACCACTAGATATAAAACAATGAAAATTATGGATCGTGTATATATAAAGCAAGCACTAAAGACGTCAATAACTCTGGTTTTTTGTGGCGGGATTTGTTGCAAAAGATAAAGTAAACGGTTTATAACTGTAATTCAAGTACACTTTTTGACAATCCACTTAATCATTATTCAATCGTCTTTACGTTTTTTAGCTACCGTGAAAGTAATTAAAAACCGTTTACAATATAGAGCTCTGGTTTGGTTGTTAATCTAGTCGTTAAGATATCAGTAGTGTTGTATGGACGCTTTATAAGTCAAAGAAACGGACTTTGGAAAATAGAAGAAATTAGTAAGCGAATTTTAAAAAAAAACAATTCAACTTCATAATCTATTAAAAGCTCTACGTTTCATCATAAAAGAAGACATACTTAAGTCACTTAACTTTAATATTAATATGAACTACTAAAACTTACTTTCGCGGCTACTCCCATCACTACCGAGTATGCAAATCCAAGCCCCAGACCCATGAGTACTGAGTATGTTATAATAACACCAATGTAGGTCCTTTGAATTGTAATATTTGTTAAGAAAACACTTCCACTGAAAATTAAGTGAAAGACCTCACAAAAGTCAATATACGAAGATGAGAAATACAATGTTGAAAATGAATTCCGCTCTTCCGTATTCTAAATTATTACTGCATAAGTCTGTGAAGACACAGAAGTAAATAGTACTGATGAGTCAAGCGTTTTGAAATTTTGATCAGCCGTTAGATTTGTCAGTGGCAAATGAAACTAAAGATGACGAACCATAAGTAGAATAGGAACTAAATTTTTAATGTTCTGTCGTTTGTACATCATTTTAATGAAAGGATTGAGTAAAGAGGTTGTGTGAATAAAACATTCACTGGTGATAAGGAATAAGAATGATAATTTGCCACGAAACATAAATAAATAAAGCGTAGGTCAGTTTAATTTCTACCACTTATTTTTGTTGTGATCGTCCTTTTGTTCTCGTTAACTCTAAAAATTTGTTCGATTGCATTATCAAAACATAGGACATTTCTTCGGTAATTTCATCTCAACTATACAATAATTGACAATAATCAGCACTTAACGTTGCATCTGATTTGCGCAGAAAGAATAATAATACTTTGCTGACATTATTTTCATGCCCTTTAGAACTGACACATAATCAATTATATGTAATAGACTTCGGAAGATTCCAAATAAAATTTGAATTTTGTAATCTCGAAACATACCTATGAAGTAAACATCCTAGTCCTACAACCACACGGAAACCAGCTTTCTGATACACGAGTCCACCAAGTGCCATTGATAAACCTTGAGATGCTAGTGCAAGCGCTGAGAGCCAAACAGTTGATTGACTTTGTACACTGGGATCAACACGAGCTTTAATATAACTCAAAATATACGGAACCATGTTCGCTATGGGTGATAGCTGTGGAAAAAATGAATGATCTTACCTATTGTATAAAAGTAACCAAAAGTTATTTGAATTAGAACAGCTCCTATGACTGTCAAAGTTCCGAACAACAAGTTCTTTTTCTTCCTTTCCTATACATTGCAAAGAGTTTAATCAAACCAGAACTATTACCATGTTGCAAGGAATCTTTGGACATTTGAGTACCATGTTCGTACGGAGTCGACACGAAAACTACCGAAGAAACAACTCGCATATTTAAATATGAGGCAGACCTTAGAAGTTAGGATTAATGATTTAAACAAAAACGGCCGCAACTTTTTACTACAAGTTAGCATAACCTAATCAACTTTCACTGGTTATTCCATTATTTCACTATAGCTTAATGAATCTCGTGATTTTGTTAGCGCGCTCTATTTAAAAGGACAGTGGTATTGTTTCTCACTGAGTTAATTAACTGTTTCGGTCGTAAATTACTCATCAAAACTATTGTTTACACTTTAATTGCATCTACTCCAGTTAAAGTGAGATTGTATTGAGTTTTTCGATTTTGTTTTTGTGTATTTATTGCATCGAAGCATACTTGGTCGACTTTTACTTGATTTGTTTATTTAAGGTTTGAGAATTCTTTTAAATATCCTGTTTGGTACTGATGGCGAAGATTGCGTTAGTGTTGTAAGTGCTGTCACGGCGCAAGCCAGACATCTACCTGTGGGACCTGCAGTTAAACGTTCTCCCCCGAAACGATCAGTAAGCGGCATCTCAATAGACGTCGGTGGCCATTTTGCTACAGCCGCGACTAATGATCCAGATAAGACAATTACTGTCCCAATTTGTTCTATTAAAGATGTTTCGACTGATGTAAATTGGATGACGCAGAAGAGTAGGAAAGACAGCTAAAACTAATGACTGTTTACTTAATAAGTCCTTGGTGGAGTCGCAGACTGATCCGCCAAAGTCCAGAAGTAAAGCTTCGTCTAACATTGTTGTGAGTCACACGCTCGACTCCCAGGACTCTGCTACACTAAAAGCTAATCGTAAGATACCAGCAGTTAGTATACAGGATCTGATTTCATGGTCGAAAGCTGTTAACACAATTTCAGAGGAAGCTGAATGCCTTCCTAGTTTAATTATTTGGAATCTAGAGGAGTCGAAAGACAACGGCCTTGCTAGAAGACATGCACATGATCTGCAGTTAGTGGAGTTTGTGGTAAGAAATGTGCTACCTGAAGAGGTTTTAGTGTTACATATTACGAAAGTAATGCGACTTGGTAAATGGGTTGGAGGCGAGACCGAACCAAGAAGAATCCTGAAGCTGGTTCTCTGGATTTTCGAGGAAAGAGACATATATTTCGAAAAACGCACTAAAGACTTGTAACTCAAATATCCGTATTCGACCAGATTGACCGCTTGAGGATCGAATCAAGTGAAAGAATACTCCTACTGAATTGGGAACTCGTAAGTTAAATGGCGAAAATAACCTTACCATTAAGGGTTTTCGGGTAGTCAGGTCTTTGAATCCAATGCTTCCGAGGCCTGTATGGGTAGAACGATTGATTGCCAAAACACCTTAAGTGTGTGCTACATGAACGCTCGTAGTCTTAGAAATAAAACGTCCGAGCCAAGTCTGATGGCGGAAGAATTATGTCCCGACATAATCGTTGTTACAGAAACTTGGTTCACCGTAGATATAGACTGTTCTCTCTTCATTGAAGGCTATATCTATATTGGAAGTGATAGAGTTTCAGGTCGCAAAGGGGGAGGTATAATATTATACGTTAGGGATCACTTTCGTACACAATCAACCATATCAGAGGCTCATATCAGTGGCACATATGAGGTAGCATGTTGTAAGATTAAATCCAGAAATAGGTAAGTGACTATAGGGGGAATATACCGTAGTCCGTTTTGTCTTGCTGACGACTTCATCCTAAGACACATCTGTTCTCGGAGTATGGCAGAATGTTGTATCATATCAACTGGATAGAGCTTACAGCTCCCGGTATTTTTTTCGATAGCAACATTTTATCTACCGTTATTCAGTGTACAATGTATCACAAAACCGATACATATTGATTTCAATGGTGGTGCGTCACTGCTGGACCTCACCCTCACCCACCACTGTGAGGACTTCCTTCATATTCAACACCTTCCCCCACCAGTGAACAGTGATCACGTTGTAATTCACTTTAAGTTTAGGACACATGGTATACAATTCATATCTGCTCCACTCCGTCCCAATATCTGGCGAGTCAATATTCTGGCAATCAGAAACTGTGCTATCTCTACTGATTGGTTGGTCGACGCGGATGGATTGATCGAAGGTGAATGGAATAAGTTTAAGGCTAGATTCGAGGCCGTGACGTCGCCGTCTATCCCATGGTCAGCACGTAAGCTATCACATTGCCCTCCATGGATTAATAAGGAAACCTGGAAGCTGTTAAAGCATTGGAAACAGTTCTGAAACTTATTATTGTTGAAAGGTCAAGCACCATTTAAGCGTGAGTACCAAAAATTCCGTAATATCTGTAAGAAAACCATAGCCAAATCCCGTACCACTTACGAAAGACAGTTAGTATATGATAGCCATACTTGTTCGAAACGATTGTTTTCGTATGTCAAACGGCGAATGAAACGTAGTGATGGTATTCCCCCGTTACTGTTACACGAAAATTCAGAATTACTAGCTGAATCAGATCGAGCAAAAGCTGAGACTTTTTCAAACTATTTTAGCGAAGTCTACTCTACCTCTATTGTAACAAATACTTGTCCCACTCACACCGAGATACCAACCATTGAATCTGTACAGGTGATTGCGGAATTTGTCCTTTCGTTGATAACTAACCTCAAACCTGGTAAGATACCGGGGCCTGACGGGTTACATCCACGGTTGCTGTCATCTCTTGCGGACATCATTTCAAAACTGCTCAAAACACTTTTTTACATGTCCCTTTCACTCGCTCAACTCCCTAGAGATTGGAAGAACGCTATAGTCTGTCCTGTATTTAAGGACGGTCATAGAGAGATAGTACCTAACTACCGGCATGTCAGTCTAACTAGCATTGTCGTTAAGTTGCTTGAAAAGATAATTCGGGTTAGGTTGCCAAGCCACATACATTCACACAGTCTGTTAGCTCATGAGCAGCACGGATTTCGTAACAAGCGTTCATGCTTGACTAACTTGCTTATTGCGAGAGAGGATTGGACAGCAGCCTTAAATAACCGCCTGTCTGTCGATGTGATATTCAAAGATTTTAGCAAAGCATTTGAAAAGGTTTCACACCTAGGTCTTATGCAGAAGCTCACGAGCTTCGGAATAGTAGGTACTGTACATGAGTGGATAGGAAACTTCTTATGCGACCTCAAAGAGTGAGGATCAACGGAACGCTATCCGATTGGAAGCCGGTCAAAAGTGGTGTACCTTAAGGCACCATCTTAGGCCCTCTGCTCTTCCTTCTCTACGTTAGTTAGTTTCTGGTGTTGCTTAGGTCGTCAACATTATTGTTTGCGGATGATGTAAAAATCTGGAGATCAATAAGTAGTGCAACTGATCATCTAGATCTTCAAGCTGACTTACACGATTTAGTTAGATGGTCTCGAGAATGGGACTTAGAAATCAATTCTAGGAAGAGTGTGCTAATGCACATCGGTCACGGTAATAGTTACCGTTATACTATTGAGGGTAAACCTCTTCCATGTGCTCAAGAATAAAAAGACTTGGGAGTAGTAATAAGTCGTGATTTAATAACAACTACGCATTGCAAAGCAGCCGCTGTCAAAGGTTTTCGTGCGTTATGGTCACTTCTCCGAGCATTCAAATCTTTTGACGAAGAAACGTTTCGAACTTTATATCCCACATTTAGAGTACTGTATCTAAGCAGCTAACCCGTGTCTGACAAAGGATATTAATTCCCTTGAGCGTGTCCAGCGTGTGAGAAGGAAATTAGTAAAGGGTCTTACTAGACTCATTTACGATGAGCTTTTAAAACGCCTAAGCCTTTTCCCCTTGTCGTATCGTAGGAAACGAGGTGACCTTATACTGGCATTTCATATATTTAATTATGATTTGGGTGTTAATATATGTTCTGTCATTTTGCTCCCTCAAGCACTAATAATCTGCGAGGTCATAGCAGAGAAGGTTCATAGACTACGATCTAATGAACTTAAATTGGGGTCCCGTTTTTCTCATCGAGTAGTCAATGATTGGAACACCTTACCCGAACATGTGTTATCAGCCCCATCAGAGAATATTTTCAAAAAGAAGCTGAACCTTCATTGGAAAGCGATGTTTCAGGATCAATACAGGTTCATCAACCTACTATCCATATTACTGAAGATTGAAGACTGAAGACGTCGAGATCATTTAAATCACTGAACCTCAGTCAAATTAGCCATCAAGCTAAACTCTTTCGACATTACACGTCAGATTACTGGAACGTTTACTGAATATGGTCACGTTTGAAGGTGAAAAACGTGAAATACTTATTTGTACTCTAGGTACCAGCTCTTGTCATATAATAGTTAGTAGTGAAAAAATCCCCAAAACAACCAACCTATTTGTCTTTAGTATCAATACTGGTCTTATTAATTTTGCTAGATGCGCTCTAGCTGAAGGTGCTCTGTCGTGCATGAGAACCAGATCATTACTTGTTACTCCGTGATACGCATCCCTTGCAACTACTAGCAGGCTTAGATCAAACGCTACCCGACATATCGGTAGCTTTCGAAAACTTTCGAACCTCCACATCTCTGACTTTTGGTTTGACCTGGTCGGCATACTTTGATTACATACGTGTTACGTGTAAAGGCGTTGTCTAAACCCAGATACCTGTAGCATTTTTGAATACATTTTTCTGGTATATGTATATCAGTATATCAACTTAACTGACTAGCCCAGTTGATGCAGATAGTCATTAAACTGTGGTTAACAGCTAATAGCAACATATAAATATTTCTATGTAGAATCTGCTGAAACATGAACCACCCATCAGCATGATCAAAATGTACGATAAATACACAACTTTCTGTCTGTATAGTACTCATTTAAGATTCGACAGCCGTTAATTCCTAACAAGTCGTCATACTTCGTCTAATTTCATACTCTACTTGACTTCATAAGCTGTCGCCTACAATCTGTTTGATATCCTACTTCTGCATCACACGAATGATGCTTAATGTACAGTAAGTTTTAACCCTTATTGATGGTGAGTTCCCTAGAAAGAGGATAGCAAATCTGTGTCATGTTATTCT